TTAATTTTTTGATAACAAATGAAAAAAATTCATTATGTAATAAAATATTTTCAAATTTTAAAATAATAATATATTGATGTCAATAAAAGATATTAACAATCGAAAATTAGAATTAATAATATTATAAAGAAAAAAAATTCTTATATTTTTTTACACATTTCTTTTTGCCTAAAAATATTAATTATTAATATTTCTGTATACATGAGTTTATTAAATCCATATAAAATATATTATCTTATTATGTAACAGATTCAAAATTATAACATACAAATAGTTTTAATAGTTTCTCTAAAGAAAAAGAATCAAATAAAATTAAATATATACTAAAAGTTTTTTTTCAATGAAAATAGAAATTATAAAATAAATTATTGGAAATATATTAAAAAAAATCAATGATTATTAAATTATATACACTCATACCTGAGCAAAGGCCAGTGATAGATTCCCATTGGTATCCAGGAGGACAATCTTCATAAGGATCAATTTTGAGATTTTTTGATGTGCATATATAAGATCCTATAGTGTTCTCACAATAATCAGGACATATTCTTCTTTCTATACACTCGTTCACGTCTAAGCGGTAGAACACATGATGGCAACAAAAGTAATCATGTACATAAGCAAAAAATGCAATGCAAAATCACAGAAAAACATATTTGAAAATAAAGCTCATATCATTAAGCAAACATAAAATAAGCTTGAAAACGAAATTGAAATTTATGAAGGCAATGAAAATTTTACGATGATAAAATGTATTAAAAATGAACAAAACATTAAAATAAGCAATTCAAATAAGAATCATTCAAATTATTATTAATTCAATGAGTCAAAAATCGATTAATTCAAATTAATACCATGCCAAACAAAAAATCTCGATATTGACATTTGATCATTCTTAAGGAATTTCAAACAATCAATATATATATAATTTAATTTCTTATTTAATTTTCTTTTCTAAATTTGTATATTACAATCATATTCAATTATATACAATTTGAACAAATCATAAAAGAATACTAATTGATATCATGTAAAATATCATGATTTTTTTTTATCAAGTTTTCTATTATCTCTGAAAAAAATATAATCTTATTTACATTATCCAAAGTAAATTTGAACAATTTTTTGTTACATGATTGCAAATGTCAGAAAAATAATTTCGTTACAAGAAACAATTTATGTAGTCACAGTTTTATTAATTATTTAATTATTTAGAAAATGTTAATTCATTTATATTTTAATAATTATATAAAAATTATATATAGTATATATAATGTATATATAAAAATCTTAATATATATGATAGAATAATTTTGGACGATTGATTCTAAAGATTAAAATAAACTTAAAAATTATACAAAAATATCGGTTGAGACTTACTAAAATAAATTATAAATAATTAAAATTTGCATTAAATTGTTAACAAATTTTAAGTGTTTATAATTTAATAAATAGACTTAACATCTTTATATACAAACTTTTGTATTTATTTGGCCACAAAATTAATCTTCCAAAGATATTCCATTAATATATTAACATTCTATATACATATATATTTAAATTAATATATTCACAGACTATTCATCTTTTTCATGAATTTAATTGAAAAAAATATTATTTGTTCTAATATAATTATTATATGTAAAATATTTGGATATGTAAGATTGTTCAGAATTTTTCAATATCTATAATTTTTTCAATAAACAATATTTTAACAATTCTAAGCTTATTATTAACTAGAAAAGATCTTAAACAAAAAATTAAATAATTAATAAAATATAAAGAATTGTTGAAGAAAATGTTTCTTTATATATGTATAATATAATAGTGAAATGAATTATAGTATAATTAAAGATTTATATGATTATTTAAAAATTATTTATTTAAAATTTTTTTTATAATTTTCATATTGCAGACATATAAATTCTTAATAAACACAAATATATTCATTTTATATAACTCATTTTATATAATTTATTTTGTTTTATATTTAAAATATATTTTTAAGCTAATAATAAGCTAATAATTGCTAAAAAAAATTCATTGATCTATTAATAAACTGCAATAATTGATTATGAGATTTTTCAAAGTTTTATTATCAGGAAACAGCAGGATCTGTTATAAAAATTTATTAGACTGACTTTTACAAAAAAAAGTATAGTAGATCTTGCTAAAGATATATTTATATCAAAAATATTTTTTTTTATGTACACTAATTATAGATTGCAATCTGATAACAAAAATACATTTGCAGTATGTATAGTTTGTTGTTTGATTTGAACAACAAAACAAATAATAAAAAAGATAGATAAAATTCTAACACTAAACTATCCTCTCTGTTGCGAATCTACTACCAATCTAACTTCAATTTACTATCAATTTACTATTAAGGAAATTTCAAAAAATTATTTATTTTTATTTATTAAAAATTGTTTTATTTTATTTTCTTCTTTGAAAATATTAATTTTTTCGTTAATTTTTATTAGTATATTGATTAATTTTAAAAGTTATAAACTCTCTTTTTTATTATTCTTTTGTATATAAATTAATTCATAAAAATATTTTATTGGTAATACGTTTGACGAAATGAATTTTTATTGATAATTAAATTTGATATTTTTAATATTTTTTTCTTACTTACCATCGCAAACTTGATTAGTAGCATTGTAACGATAACCAGCTGGACAAAGAAGTGAAAAGTCGTTGTCCTCCAGAATAGTAGTAGTTTTAATTTCCGATGGTTTCAATAAACAAGAATGTTTATCATCCGCTAATATGTAACCAGGATTACAACTGCATGTAACTGCAACTCCATTATCCGTACAACGTTGTTCACATGGATTACTAGATTTACATCTGTATCAATTAAAATTATATAATATTTCTTTATTAAGATATAATGATAATATTTATGATAAAAAAATAGTCATCTCAAATTAATGTGATTTATTTTTCTATGAAGAGAAAATCAATAATGCAAAAATGAAGAAAAATTTAACTTTGCCTAAATAATATAATTTTAATGATTAATAGTGGAATTTGTTTTGAAACTTTTGTTTTGATAAAAATCAATTCATAAAATACTAAAAATATAATAAAAAAAAATATAATAAAAAAAAAATATAATAAAAAACTAATAAATTCTTATATTATAAATTTAATTAATAAATTTAATAAATTTAATACTATAAATTTATATTATTTATTAAATTAGAATATGTAACAATTTTAAAATATTTATAGAAAATAAGTTATTAAGTTTTAAAAAAATTAAAAAATATAATATGTAAATATAAAATGTAATCAAAAAATTCAAAAATTTTTGTTAAATAAATTATTTATTTTAAAACATAATAAAATTTACAATGAATCTCTTTCAAAATTCTAAAAATTCTTTCTATAAGTACACATTATTGAAAGAATTATTTTTTGTAAATACATTTAAATACATTTTTAAGCCGATTTCAGTTTAATTTATTTTATTTTTTTTATTCCAATTTGATGATTATTTAATTTTTTTATATCTTATTTATGTTTCTTTTAAAGAAATTTTTTAGATATGAGAAAAGAAAGAAATCAGTTATTAATTAATCTGACAAATACAAAATAGTTGCGATTTAAGAATAGAAAATAATTAACAACATTATCACTAACATTATCAAAATGCTATTTTAAGAAAAAGCTAAAATATTTAATATGCAAGTTGAAAACATTTCGATTTTTCATATTTGAAAAAGAATTTCTTTTGAAAAAGATTCATCATACATTTCGTTAAACCTTGAAATAAATAATTTAAAAAAATTTCTAAATTTTTTGAATATATTTTTTATTTTATAAAACTTCTATACCTATCAGTTGGTAGATCTTGTCTACAAGTCTTTCCATCTTCTAATAGAGTAAAACCTTCGCGACATTTACAATAATAAGATCCTGGTGTAGGAACACAAATGTCAGAACATAATAATCCCTTCATAAGTTGGCAGATGTCATCTAAGGCTATAAATTAATATTTTTAAATTATTTAAGTAGATATTAAGTAGATTAAGTTAATATGCCGATAATTAATAATTTTTAATTTTAACATTAATTATAATATTGAGGATAATTTATTTAAAATTTAAGAATTTCTAATTTAAGAAAAAAATATTTTTTTATTTGATTTAACTTGTATTATAGATATTTGTTTAAAACTGTTTAAATCAGCTTTATTTTAAATATATAACAATAATAATATATCATATAATAATTATATCATAGGAATCGAAAAATGAGATAATTTTTTAATAATTTTTACAAATTATAAATTACAAATAAACAATTATAAATAAATTACAATTTAAAATTAAATCATAATTGAAAATATTAAAATTTAATATTTTTAAAGTTAATTTTTTATTTTTCTAAATATTTAACAGTATTAATGTAATTTTTAAAATTTTATCTTAATAGAAATTTAATATTATTACTTACGAGGTGTAGGTATCGATGGAGAAAAAGATGTTGATGAGGCTAATGTAGTTTGAGTAGACAATGAAGAAGAAGAAGAATATGATGATATTGAAGTTGATTCACTATTAGTAATCTCGCTGGAAGATGTTGCATTTGTAAGATTTGTAGTAAAAATTGTTGTCGTACTTGGTGATGCTTCATAACAACATTCCAAAAATGCAGGATCCCATGGATTGCCAAAGGTAAATTTTTTAAAAGCACATCCTTGTCCCATAGATCCAGTTAAAATCCCTTTTTAATAAAATTTAAAAAGTTACTAAAATAATTAATTACGTAACAATATATCGCAGATTCACAAAAGAACAATTGCAAGTAAGTCTATTTTCAAAAGATGAAGAAAACTAATTTTATTTGATTAAATTTAATTAAATATATAATTAAATATAAACAAAGCAATTACTTATTAATTACTTTTAAATTACATTATTCAAAAATAGATATTACTTATTATTAATTTATTAATAACAATTACTTATTATTAATAATAGTATAATTAAAATGTTATTAACTTGCTTTAAAACAAATATAATATTAATACTACAATTATAATTAATAATTGTAAAAATTTTCAATTTTGTAGTTATATTATTATTTTTATAGTTATATTATTTTTCTAAATCAACACTGTGTTTTCTTATTATAAAAATAAATAATAATTAATAAGAATTAAATTATTAAAAAAAAGAATTATTTTGTTAAAAAAATAAAAAACTATTTAGACAAAAAAAAGGATAAAATATCAAAAAAGATATTGTCATTTTTATTTTCATTTATTAAAATATAAAAGAGTTTTTGAACTATTAAAATTAATTTGCAATTATATATATCTTTAACATATGAAAAAATAACTATTAATCTTAATACCAATAAAATTTATAGATTTAGGATATTTATGCGAAATATCAAAATTGAATATTCAAAAATCTATGAAATAAAAAAAACATAAAATATCCAAAGTATAATGCTTATTATTATATTTATGGAATAAAATAAATCTCTATTTAAGCACTATTTTTTTTATTCATATTCATAAAAATTTAATTTTGCATTAAAATCTGCCTAATAATCTGAATAGATAAATGATTAAAAAACTAAAAATTTTATAAACATTTATATAACATCAATTTTATAAACATTATAAACATCTCATTTTATATTTAAAAAACATTTTTATATTTAATATTTAATAACTATACATTTGACCAGATTTTTTTCTTCAATTTTATCTTTTTCTTATGTATGACTTGAACTGAATAAGGAAAAAAATACTATATAGAACTATATAGAAATGTATAAAAAGAAATAGAATGTTTAGAAAAATTATAGAAATACAAATTACCTAATTTACACGCTTCGCAACAGTCACGATGATAATCACCCGGTCCCAAACGTTTACTTTTACTGCCGGAAACACACGCTAAACCAACATGTGCGTCCAATTTCCCTTTCTTGCATTGTTGTTCGTGATACGCTCTCACGCAACAGATGTCCACAGCCTCTAAGCAAAGTCCTTGTTCGACTGTCGGCACTCCAGATACTGGACCTGTGAATTTTTCACACCTGAGCCCTTCCAAAGCCCATGAAGTACCAAGTCCACAGCATTTTTCAAATTGCTCTTCCATTCTGGCTTCACTGAACAAAATTCCTATTAAAATAGAAACTATAGAATGTTATTATTAGGACAAAAATGATCGTTATAAATAAATTCAATTTTTGCTATTTTATTTTATTATAATATTTATTATTTTATTATAATATCTAATTATCGCTGATAATTAGATGATAGTTAAATTGACTATAAAAGAAATTAAAGTTAATTTTTTTTCAATAAGAATTGAAAATCATAATACTTTATAGGAGAACTTTTATATTCATATATCTCTAATATTTATTTAACATTCGTTATTCTTTTTTAACAATAAAAATGCTTTAATGCTTATTCTTCCAAAAATCTAATATTTTAATATCAAACATTTACTCTGCATGATTCACTTTTTCATAATTTTTCAATAAAAATTAAATTTCTGTTTAAAATTTTATTTATTTGAGCCTCATTCGAATATTATTCTTTTACTTTTTGTTAATTTTTTTTGTTTTATTAATTTTTATTGAAAAAATTGATTCTAATTCGATATTTATTCATTCTTTAAGATTCTTTAAGGTGACGAATATATAAATGTTATATATATAGAAATCGTTAAATATATAGAAATTTCATTATATTTTTTAATAAATGAAATGAATATAGTTCATTCAGAAAAATTGATATCGATTAAAAAAATGGCATCAATGAATTTGTTATGAGTGATCAAAAAAAAAAAAAAATGATGAAAAGGAACGGTAAAAGTTATTAATTCTCTTAATCTGACTTAAATTATTTCTAATTCATAAAGAAAATTATCAAATTGATGAAATAATGTCAAATTGATCATTTTGATCATATCAAGAAGATTCATTAAATAACTTAATTTTTATCATTTTTTTATTATTTCTTCTTTTTACAATATTTTTTTAATTACTAATTTTATATATTTCTTAGAATATTAATTATTTCATCATTTCATATCTATATTTTCGATTATTATAAAATTGATGATTGATAATAATTTTATACGCCAGACAATAATTTCCAATTTCAAAAAAAGCCTTCATTTTCATCACTTTCATAAAATATCTCTATTTCACTCCAAAATTTATAATTATAATAAATAACTTTCTAAAATAATAAAATTCTAATTTTGTTAATTCAATTTTTTAAAATTCAATTTTTTTTTAAATTTCAATTTTATACATTTATCGTATAGAATAAAACTTGCATAAAATTTAAATTATTTTTCAGTTTTTTGTAAATTGTTTTTCTTTTATTTTTTTCAATTTATTAATTCAATTGATCACAAATAATTCTTAGAACTATAAAGTGAAATAGAAACAGAAAAAATAAAATAAAAATAGTTAAATTTGATAATAAATTTAAACATCATGGAGTTATCTCTTATTTGCATATCATTTTCACGAACTTTATATATACAATTTAAGTCTAATGTAAGATTTTACCTGTCGTTGCAATAAGTGCAGCGATAAGAAGAAAAATCATAGATAAATGTTTCTTAACAATCTTTATTATTTCGTTTTTGCTCAAAAATTTCATATAATAAATTATTTCATATAATAAATTTTCATCATATTCTATTTTTATGTCTTTTTTTATAATCTTTATTAAATTATTATCAAATTCTTTTATATAATATATTTATATTTTATTTAAAATTTTTCATTATCTAAAATTGATCATCTATATATTTCATTCATACAATAAATTTAATTTTGAATTAAATATTTTTAAAATTTTAAAAATAAGTTTTAAATAATTAAATAGAATAATAATAGATGTAAAATAAATATAACGTAAATAGATATGATACTTAAAAGTTCATAATATTTAACTTCGTTTTATTTTTAAGTGATATAAATCATGAATTAAATTTTTTCACTATAATAAAATAAATACGAATAATTATAATATATAAATTAAAATTATTTGTTATGCGTTTTCTTTTCGTTATACTTTCGTTGTTCTTATTATAATATAAGTAACTAATTATAATTTTTATGTTAGTTTAGGTATAGAAATATCAAAATAATTTTCATAATTTTTTATAAAATTTTAATTAATTTTTTTTAAAAAAATTTTTGAACATTTTGAGATAGTTTTAATTTATGTTCATCAATATATTGTAATCATCAAAATTTTTGAATATCACATTAATATTATTATAAGATAATTATTATATTATTTTGTTATATATTACATTTGTTTAATAATTAAAATATATTATGAGTATTAATATTTCTACTGTAAAATATAAATAAAACAATTTATATATTCATTTATTCCTTAATTTATCAACTTAATTAATAATATTCATATATTAATGTAAAGTTGAATTTCTTATCTTTTATAAGAAAGACTATATAATGTTTGCTTAAAATGAATAAAAATGTTTATATATTATGTACTCTATAGAAGATAATACTGTTATAGTATTCAATTAGAGATCTCCATAAATCAAAGATTACACATAGACCAATTGATAATTGTTTGATAAGAATGAAGTTATGTAGTTTGTACGTACATATATTTCATGGTTTCATTACAAAACTATCCTTTTTAATTAAATACATTTTAATCATATCAAATTAATTTAAATTTGATTTAAAAAAAGAATTTATTTTTCTTAAATCATTGTGGTTTTATCTAAAAACTTATCTTAAAACTAAAATTTTTTTAAAATTATTTATATAGGTAAAATCATTTACAATGAAAAATTCGCGAAATAATAATAAAAAGTTAGATACATATTGAATGAATACTATAAAATTATAAAATAATATAAAAATAAATAAAATTATTTTAATGCTTGTTATAAAAATAATGCATTAATTTAATTATTATAGATATAATTTATTTAATGTAAACAGATATAATTAATAATCAAATAAATAAAATGTATTTACTAGGAATTATTTTTCATTTATTATTTTTTTTCTTTATTTATTCCTTACTTTTATTAAACATAGAATATTTATAATTTTCTGATATATTATAAAATAATATAATTTATGTGTTATAATAAATTATAATTTATTATAATAAATAATATAATATAAAGAATATATATATATTACATATATATTGTATATATAAATATGATAATTTTTATAAAAATGATAAATTCAAATATATAATTACATTATTGTTAAAAGCATACTTCTTTTTTATTTGTCTAATAAATTAGAAATAGTACGGCAAATTAATTTTATTCATTCTCAAACTCGGAACTCCACATTTCTCCTATACTACTTAACTTCCATATCATTTTTCAAACATTAATTTACTAATTAATGCTATTTTGAATGATACTACATAAACAATATCTAAACGTCTTAAAATTCTACCGAACGTTATTTTACACATATTAACTTTAATTATCAATTCTAAGAAATTAAGTTCTCAATGCGTATTTACAATTTATATTCTTACAAGTGAGAAACAATTTAAGCAATAAAATTTACTTATTCATTTTTCATTAATTAGCAATAACTAAAAATATAAGAAATTCGATGGAATTTTTAATACAAATAATACCTTGTTTTCGAAGAAAGAATTTCTCCAATTGAATGATTAGAAGTAAGAAGAAAATCATACGTAGATCCGTAAATCGAGTCATCTTCTTTCTTGAATTTTTTGTGAAATTAGTCGTATCACAATCTTTTCTTTTGAAATTTTATCTTTTTATTGTTGCCAATTTGATTGATATAAAAACAAAAAATCGTTTCTCTTTTGTCGGATGCGTTCCGACCAAACGCTCAGCATGCATTAAAGCATTCAGTTTGCCGATACCACGGTTTTCTTCTCTGCACCTTTCTATGTGCATCTCATTTCTCGGATTGTCCTTCTCTATCCTGATGGCTTATTTCCCCCATATACCTCTCTCTTTGGTATGCGCGCGCATAGATACTAGAGCAATTTCATCATCAGTGATGGCACTGATCTTAAACTTGCTTGGAAGGTCATCTCAATGTCTGAATTTTTTCACACATTTCATCTATTTTTTCATCATTTTATTATCTAAGTTGTTTTATTCATAGCGAATAATTCAATATTACAATCAAAAAATATATGTTTAAAATTTATTATTTAAAAAAATTTGGATTATTTAAATTTTATGTATTAAAACACATAATATAATATGTATTAAAATATATAAAAAAACATTTAATGAATAAATATTAATGGAAAAGAAATGAATTCAAAAGCAATAAAAACAACCTCTACATAAGTTTTAATTCATGCATTTTAGATTAATTTTCTTTTGTTGATTATATAGATTGTTAGATTATATGCCTTTTATAAATTATCAACTTAACCCAAACACGATCAAATAGCAGAATTATAATACTATAATGATTATAATATATTTTTTCTTTCTTTATCGCTTATTAAATACATGATTTAATCATATAAAATATAAAATATTTTAATCAAGAATTTTGATCAAAAATAAATAATATAATTTATTTAAAATCATTAAATAACATACATATTATTACTTCTGATATTTAATTATGAATAATTAAAAACTTAAAAAATAATTGTACCTAAGAAACTAAAATTTATATTAAATTTGCAACATTTTATTAAAATTTATTAATTAAGAAATTCAATTTTAAATTTTTATTAAATACAATGTATATAAATATTATTTTAATCTCATCATTACTACATAATATGTCTTTTTTTTTTGAAAGAAAATCCCTCTCCTTGAATTTCGAGAGCCTGTTGATCATAGTACTCGTGACTTCTTCCGCGGCATGTGTTCTTGACTCGATGTCAGTATAAAAGATCCTTTTTTTGCCGGTATTCTGTGGACAGTAGACGCTTTGTTGATCTTGTGAATTTCCGTACTACCCTTATGCGGACAATCAGAATGTTTTCAAATATTTCATGTATTTATATCTTATATCAATTTCAAAATCAAAATCTAATAAACATTATTTTTAGAAAATTATATTATTTTTAATTAAAATTGAAATTATTTTTAAAATCTTTTAATAAATTTAATATTTATTAATAATATTTATTAATAAATATAAGATATTAGTAATTAAAAAAAAACATTATTGGATTACACATAAGAATTATTTCTTCTTAATTTTATCATTTTAAAGTTTAATAATATATTTTAATTTTTATATTTTAAAGTCATATAAATAATATAATATAATATAATAATATGTATATAACATATTAATATAATTTTTAAAATATCTCAAAAATATTAATAAATTTAAATTAAAACATTAAATTAAAACACAAAAGTCAATAGATATTAAATTTTCCTAAATAATAAATTTTTATTAACATATTGTAGAATAAATTAATAGTGATAATTTAAAAAAAATAATTATACAAGCATTTTGTACAAAAAAAATATTAAAAAACATTTAAAATAATTTTTTTATGTAAACAATAATAAATACAATAATAATTAATAATAATATATTACTATATGTATAAGAAAATAAAAAATATCGAAACAAAAGAAATTAGCATAATTTTTTCTCGATAAATATCAGTTGATCTCGGTAGCAGAGGAAAAAAAAAAATGCAGCAGGAGTAATAGTCAGTAGGCCGGGAACAGTCACCGAGTTAGTGAGGTTGCGATGACCGTGACACGTGCAACTCCATGGCGATCATGTAATACCAGGTCACAATATCTTGTGTTGTGAAAAAATCGAATATTTCACCATCCACGTCGGCCGTCTGCATGCTTACGCATCGTCGTCGAACCTGAAGTGCTTCTTTTGCGTCCTTCTTGATAGCAACATGTGATGATCTACTTATATATATATATGTACAAGTATAAAAGAGACCAAGAAGTTGAAATAAACAACACGATGATATAATATGAGAAAGGTAAAGAATTTCTTTGAATTATTCGTAACCTTTATGTTTCTCAAAAATATTATTTTGCTCATTTGAAAAATTCTTTTTTCTATCTTTTAATTTAATTTTTTTATTTCATATTTCTTTTTAAAATGATATTTTCATCGAAAAATAAATTATAACAAATATAAAAATTTAAATTTAAAAATAATTTATTGTTAATTGTATTTTATCAAAATTATATATATATATATATATATTATAATATAATTATGTATAAATATAAATTATTTTAATTAAATTAACTTTTTTTAATATATCGAATATATTAAATTGTACAGATTAAATATTATAGCATTTATATGAAAAATTATGTTATTTTTTATTATCCTTTATAAAATTAAAATTTTGATTTTAATTTAAAATTTCGATACAATCTCTTGAAGAAAATAATGTAATATCATTATTAATTAAATTAAAAATTATAATAAATCCAATTATCATTATTATTTTATTATTTTGAATTAATAATTTTGTGTATTTAGAATTAGTAGTACAAGAAGAGTGATTTTATATTCAAAATATCATTATCAAAAATTTTTTCTTCCCTGAAGCATCGTTTTCAAGAATGCAAAAATAAATATGTAATAATAATATTTCTTTCATTTGAAAATTTAAAAAAAAATTTTAAAAATGCATTAAATATATCAATTTGATATTCATTAAGTAATTAAATAAATCAATTTGATAATTTATTTTTTGATTGCTTAATTTTGATTTCATAAAAATGAAAAATTAGATAAAATAAAAATAAGAAATAAAATAATAAAGTAATAAAAATTGTATTCATTTATATTTATATATTTATTTTTCATTTATTTCGCACGTATACATCATGTAAAATAATCTGTTAATAATCTATTCTATTTAGTATTATCAAAATTCATTCATTTTATATTTGAAATGTTTTTAATTTGCTCGAAAACGAAGCTTCAAACAGAAAAAAACATTATATATTTTTTCCAATCTATTTTTGCATCTATATCTTTCTCTGTTTCTTGCTATAATCTGCCTGGTATATCTATATAGATAAATTGAATGTTATCTAAAAAAAATATGACAAAAAATTATAACAAACTTTAATATTTTAATAAATTATGACTTATTTGCAAAATTATTTAAATTAGTTTCTACACATAATATTTTTTATATTATAATATATAAGAAAAATAAAATAAAATTTACTAGCTTTGTAGAAAAATTATTTAAACTAATTTATTTAAATAAATGTAATTGAAAATTAAAGTATCTTAGAGCAGTAAAAAACGTCGATTATCCAAATAATAAAATCAATTATTAAATTATTAAAAATAACTCTATAATGATTATATATAATATTTAAACATTATTTGAATTATGTAAAGAATATTTTTTCTATTTAATAGAAAAAAAGAATGTTTTTTCTAAATAATATTTTTTATAAATAATATAAAACTAATGTTTTCAGAAAAAAAAAAATAA